AACCTTATTTTTTAAAAGAGGCTTATTAAAGTTTGCTTTTTTGAGCATAGCAACTGTTCATGTCTGTTGGTTTTTGCTTTTATTTCCAGATCAATTAAACCTCATGTACATTGTGAGAGGTTGAAAACTTAGGAGATAAAGTACGCAGAAACTAGTCAGAACATTGGTTTGTGTATTCAAACAGATTTTTAATTGTTAGGAAAGATGTTTAAAGAGAAGAAAATTGATATAAATTAAGCCAAAATGTCTGGGAAGGCTTCAAATTAAAAAGATGCATAAATATTTTGTTGAGTGTTGTTGACAAAAGGCATTAAAAGCTACAAAACATAAATGTTTTGTAGCTTTTAATGTATAATTATCCTAATATCGTTTAAGAATCAATGACATAAATTGCATGTAATTTAAAGTGTGAAATTTTATTAGATTGTGATTTTAATAATGACTTTTAACAATATTGTTAAAAAATAAGTAAAATTTAATAGTAATCATGTAAATCCATACTGACTAAGGTTTTCTAACTACCTAATTTAATTTATAACTAACTGCTTACTCTTAAAAATTATCTCTGGATAATGAAGTGAGTTATTGCCTTTCATTATTCCTTAGCGTGGCACATGGTTTAAACACAAAAATATAAAAATTCATGTAAAACTTATTCTTAGTATCTAGTGAGACCTAAAATAATAAAAGCAACTTAGTGTCACCTCTGGTGCTTTAGTGGCTTATTGGAATCTTTATATTAACTTGGTTACAACCCCTGGAACTCTACACGGAGCTACGACACTAACCGCAACAGACAGAGCCCAACTAACTTTCAAAACTAGCTAACCGTGCCCACATCAGGCCTCTCTTTTGTTCTGATCAGCAGGTCTCTCTCTACGTAAGGAGCAGCGGTGACAACAGCCAGTCTTTTGTTATAAATTATTCTGATTATGATTTTACTTCTCATTTTAAACTATGACGCTTGACACAAAATCTACCTGCTATTTACTAAACCTCTAGATTGAGCAAGTAATGACACATAAAAAAAATCAACATGAAACTAACTATTAGTAAAATGTGAATAAAATGTTACTTATGTTCTTTCAAATATACTGAACTATTGTAAGTCTAGAATATTTAATGCTGTTTGATAAATTTCATAAAGTATATTTTATGCTCAAACTAATTAATAATTATGTTAATTAAGTTATGTTTAATTATAATGCATCCCACTTACGGATCTATATTGTTTTTTGCGTGGTATTACAAAAGTGAAGTTCAGGCACAGATAATATTTTAAGTGAATTTATTAATTTGCTATTTGCTCATAGGTCCTTAATTTTTTTCAGTAATGGTCCTTAAAAGTCCTTAAAAAGTACTTAATTTCCATGTGCAGAAATGTGTACGAACCCTGTTAATACTATCAAAGATTATTTTAAAGAGAAAAACATTTCTCTTGTGAATATTATGTCTCTTGCCACTAATGGAGTTCCTGCAGCCGTGGGTCGTCATCATGAGTTCATCGCCCTTTTGAACAAAGAGGTACCAGCTATTTTAACTGTTCACTGTGTGATTCATAGACAGCATTTAGTTGCAAAAAACCTCAGTGACCGTTTGCATCAGTAATTACAATATGTTATGTCTGCTATGAACAAAATTTGCAGTAATGATCTCAACAATTGATTATTCTTGCAGTTTTGTAAGGACAGCGATGAAGAATTCAATTGCTTGCTTCTACACACCGAGGTTTGCTAGCTCTTCAAAAGGCATCTGCCACAATAGGTTCTTGCTGGAATCTTTTCGACTCTGTAGTTGAGTTCCTCAACGTGAAAGAAGATGTAGCTCTGAAAGACAGATCTGTACAGTTTAAGATTAATGTTGCTGACATGACTGATTTATTTACAGAATTCAATGGAATTAATTTGCAGCTGCAAGGCAAAGAGCTCAGTTTGATCACAACAAAATCTGTTATTTCTGCCTTCCTAAAAAAACTCATTTTATGTAAGCAGAATTTGGGTTGCAGTGAGTTCAGCCAGTTTCTATTTTTGTTGGATTTGCATAAGAGCAGTGAAAACCCCTTCAATAAAACATAAGTTTACTGTCATCACCTTGAGTCTTTGCACAAGGGCTTTTCTGCATTTTGAGAATATTTTATTCTTTGGTAGTCCCTGAATGTGTCGTGAACCCTTTTATGAATATTGAGACAGCAGAGGTTCACATTCAGGAAGAATTGGTTGAATTGTCAACAAATGAAACTTTAAAAGCCAGCTTCCAGAATGGTGATCGTCTCACAGAATTTGGGCTTCAAAGTAGCGTCAGTCGCCTCTACCAAGGTTTGTGGATTATTGTCAAGAAATTTTTAATTGCTTTCCCTTCCTCCCTTGTTGAGGGAGGACTCAATGTCGTGACCAATCTAATCACACACACACACCAAAAAAAAAAAAAAAGAGAAATCAACTGACATTTGCCTTCATCTTTCTAAAAATATTGAATCAAACATCTAGAAATTAGCTCTGAACCATCGAGAACAAGCATCCCACTGATCATACTTGTTTCATTAATATTAGTATGTCTAATCATAAATATGACTTGAAAGTCAGCTTCAATCAGAAAGTAGGGATAAAAATCCATAGAACATGTCATAACATATTTGTGCAATTTATCTCATGCTGCCATCTGCAAATTATAATAAGAATGCAAAAAGGATTAAAGTAGCTACTGATATTAGACAGTATTGAAATAAAATTCTAATTGTGAAACACCAGTTGCATAGCATATAATTAAAACTTCTCAAAAATTGATGGTGGAAATTTTTCTTAAAATTATGCTTGTCCTGGACCTAAAGATCCCTACGGAACATCCATTGTTAAGTAATGAAAGATACAGTAGTTGATTAAAATTTGTAGAACAGTACCTTTGGCTGATGTTTTCATATATAAGTAGTAGGCAAATAAAAACAGTACAAAGTCCGAAATTCAGACCTCCAACAACACCCCCTTTCCCGAAAGAAAAGCAGGTATGCTTTAAAAGTAATTTTCCTTCTGACTAACTGATATTCCTGATATCACTTTCAAATGCCTGTTGGCTAGGGAGTTATACAGTGGCCAGTGACAATACATCAATTGAACTGTATTAAAATTAGCAGTAAAAAATCCTTCAGCTTTTGAATGGTTATAGGAGAGGGGAGAGCTTTTTCTGTTTGACCTAAACAATAAGTAAAGCCCCAAGACATATTTATATGAAATGGAATGTTGCAGATATTTTTCTTTTGTTGGCATAACAGCGGGCAAGAGATAAAGAATTAGATTTCTCTGAACTTGAGTTCAGTTAACGTAGCAAATCTGCTTTTCCTTAACTATCTGATTTGAAGCAGCCTATTATTTTGTTCCATTTGTTATTAATCATATGAGAATTAGAGTTTTTGTAAATGATAATGTCTGCTTTATTCTTTCATCAAAACTATGCAGCCACCAATCAGTGAATGGGCTTTGGAAATTTGTGTGTACTGAAATGCAGATATAAAGTGACATTTTAAAAACTGATACAGGAAGTAAGACCATCCAAAAATTTTAGAATATTTTAATATAAAATATGATGTGTGGCGCATTGCTAGATTATGAAAAGACATGTCTATGAATTCTTTTAGAAATACTAGATGATACAAAGCTAGCTACTAAATTTTTTATGACAATGGAAGCAGCAAATCTGAAAATTTTCGCATATCGCAAGTGAAAAGTGAATTTCCAGTTAATCTAAGAGAAGAAGTGCTAAATAAAGATGATGTAACTGAAGGTCTTACATTGCTATGACAATGCCTGATTTATCAAATATTAAATGGAATAGTGAATATCTGTAGTATGATTTTAAAATTTCATCACTTCGACTTTAATTTGCATTTTAATTTCATGTAATGGTGATACAAAAAAAAAATCTTTATCTAAAATATCCGTTTCTTAAAGAAATATTAATGAAGAATACTATTAATTTTGTAATTTCTATATGTTATATTACTATATTTAAACTGATGATCTGAAATCTGGAATTGCCATAGTTCCATTGATTTCGGATCTCAATCTTTGTACCATATAGCACAAATGTTAAATTTATTGCTGACAAATATGCTTATTGCCCTCGTAATAATATTTCTCTTTCAGTGGGTGTTGTTTACACCACATTGTGGATGTTGAATGAACTTTTCTTGCTCAACTTTGTCCTAATTTTGTTTACAGTTTGCTGCTTATTCGATTGTGTTTCTGTCAAAATTTTCTGTGCCATGGAGGATCTTTCTGTGTGCAAGGATTGTTTCACATTAACTAGCAATACTTTGATAATATTGCAAGTAAAATTCAATGAAACTGGTGTCCGAAGCATTTTTATTTATTCTAATTTTTTTATGTTGAAGTTCTTCATTTGTGTATTGTGTATTATTTTTGAAAGGCATTCTTAAAATAAAGCTTAATTTTGACTTGTAGCAGGAAGGGAAGCTGAAAAATAATTAGTCATGTTCTTTCTGCTCCCCACACTTCAAGATGATTCATGCCAATTTTTTTGCATATTTTCAAATGATGGCTTCACTGTATTCTGATGACAAAAATAGTGCTGTCTGTCAGAGTCCCTAAAATAAATTTTTTTTAGGGTTCACATTATTCTAATGCAAACTAATCTCCAAATTGTATTTAAAATCGAAGCTTCAGTGTGTAAAAAAAGTTAAAAGAATCAGAAAGATGTCATAAAGATAGTGACGTTAGACTGCAAACATTCTGAATTTTATATCATGGTTTGAAAAAATACTCGGAGACTAGCAGCAATTGTAAAGCATTGAATAACTAACTATCAAAGAAGAAAACTTACTGCGTTATTTTAAATTTAGGTGTTCTCTTATATTTTCTGAGAGTTATAAAAACTAATGACAAGTTGTAAAAATGATGAGTAATAATTATATTGTTAAAAGCTTAATTTAAACAGTTTGGTCTATACAGGTAAATTTGTACTTAAATACAATTTATTTGTGTTTGTAGGCTTTGGATGGATTCATAATAGTTTTTTCATGTAATGGTCAAATCCTCTATACATCAGAAAGTACAGCTTCGCTTCTGGGATATTTACCGGTAAGTACATCTGTTTGTATGAAAAAAATATCCTGAAAATAAATCAGCAGTATTTTCATCTGTGGTAATATTTATTACAGTTAATGTTACAGTCAATTCTCAATTAACAAGGAGCAGATTTTATTGGCCTGTCTAAAAGTTATGTTTGTTTATTACAAAATGATGTGAAAAGTCTATGGAAAATAAAAATGGGGGGAATGTATGAGATAGCAGGAGTTATTGAAGTTAGCCAAAAAAAAAATGTTCTGACTTTCTTATTTAAGTTTAAACTCAGTATTGTTAAATTCTGGGGTAAATGTATTAATAAATAAATTTATTTAGACATTTTAAATTAGTTTTTGTTTTGAAATTGTCAGTATTACCAGAAAAGGAAGTTGTTCCAAATAAAATTTAAATGTCTGTTTGCTTCATAGATTACACCAAGAAATTATTTCATAGACTACGAATATTCATTATTTCTCCAATGTTATGTTTTTTAATTTCTCGGCAGATTTTATGAATATGTGTGATTCTTCACAGCCAAGTATCTTGATTAAATCTTTTTGTTTGTCATTTTTCATTTCTTTTATTAGCTGCGTATTCAGCATAATTTGAATTATGACATTGTGTAAGTCTTCCATAGTTTTATCATTTTCAGTCCATTCAGTAATCTTCACTTTTTTTGTTTCGAAAGCATTACTTACGGATTCTTTGAAGAAAGACTTTCAACTATTTTCAGTAACTAAAAATAGTCAGTCATCAGGTATCAGTGTTTTCACACTTTTTTTTTTTTTTTTTTTTTGATAGAATTTTAATTTGGGATTTTACAATTTCTGTTTAGTATTGTGTAATGAATGCTGTGTTGTTTATATGTTTCCAACCAAGAACTGCCATTAAAATTGCATCTTCTTTATTGAGTCGAACACTGTATCAGAATACGGTGAATTCTGTTTGTATTTACATTATATATTGTATTATGTATTTACATGTATATATTTATATTTATATATATATATGCATTCATAAACATTAAAATTTAGCATAAATCCTTGCCATTAACTTTGATGGAAGGTATGACACACAGTAAATTGCTTTCTTTTCTCAGGAACTGGTTGTTTGCGTGTTATTTGTATTTCATATTCATTATTTGTTTATACTGAATGGAAAGATTATTAAACTCATATATAAAGGATGAGTCATTCTAATGTTATATGAAATTTGGATATTCTGTGTCAATAATTTTTTTTAAAAAAAATTGAGCATTATCTTGCCAAATCACTTGATATGACCCTCATAAAAATTATTCTATTCTTTTGCAACCAAAATGCAATTAAATTTGATCCATTTTATGCTATTTTATCTCCACCACTGCAGTAAATTTATTTTCTGCATAATCTTCCAACTAAGGAATTTGAGTTTCTTTTATTTGTAAAATCATTTGTTTTAAGTTTTTTTGGTACTATTCCGTTATGAGGACCGTAAAAAAATTGCAGCAAAAATGTATGCTCAAAAGTGCCAAATCTAGCAAATGGGCCCATTTAACAGCACTCCAAATGTAGCGTAGGCGTTGATTTCAGATTGTGTAAGTTTATATAGTTCTATATTTCTTAAGACGCCATTGAAATACTAGTTTAATTTTTAAATCCTTTTTTGATATTCTATGAATTTAACAATTTGGGAATTGCCCATGACGAAAGTCGACAATAGAATTTTGGGTAAAGTGCAGAATCACCCACTGCTTGACGCGTTTTTAAGAATTGCATATACTCGGTATCCATGTACACATCGACCTATTTTCACTTTTAAAAAAAATTCCAGAATTGCACAAAATGGCACTGCGCACACCCTTGACTTTATCTATGTACACATCGACCTATTTTCACTTAAAAAGTAAAAGAAAATTGACAAAAATCCAGTTGTTTTTACTCTTGTAAAAAGCGGCAAATAAAAGTGGGCGATTCTGCACTTTACCGAGAATTTTTTCATATAAAAGGCATCTTCATTATAGAAAATTATGTTTGAACATCCAACAAGATTAAATTATGCTTTAGCGATAACTCGGTCGCGAAAAATAGCTATGCAGGCATCCATTCAGTTATGTTTAGCAAATTTTTATATAAAATTATAATAATGATCTGAAATAGTTATTTACTTTTATGCCTTCCACTCAGTCATGTTTAGCCTTTTTTATATAAATTATAATAATAAAAAAGTATTATATGAAATTAACTTTTCATCTAAATTAAAACATCAGTCTTAGATAGTTATTTACTATTGTACTTCCTTTTTTGCGTTAAGGTTGCTGCAATTATTTTTGGCAGCACTGGCATCGACAATAGTTTGGCGATTTTTTTACACCCCTCAAAACCGAATAGTACTTTTTTTTTAATTACTGCAGTGCTTATGATTATTTGTCTTTGTATGTTGTATTTTCTCACAGATATTAGACAGTTATTTATAAATTTAAGAAGTCAAAATTAAATTTTGCAATGGAAGGTAGGTGACAAATGTTTGTATTATGGAGAAGAAAGGAAAAAGATTGGGTGAAAACTAATCATTATACCTTGCTTACTATTTTGAAACTAAATGGTGAATGTTATAATGATACTTATGTAGTACAGGGAACATCATTAAAATATTTGTCTTTAGATGCCTAAGGTATTAATTTTAAAAACATATCACTTAGATTAAATATGTAGAATAAACAATTTGTGCGAAATTCTTCTGTGGATTTCATCTGCAATATTATGCATTAAGTTATATTGTGTTATCTGGAACGTTTTGTAGTTTTTCAAAATGCAGCACGTTATCTTTTGTTTTTCTTCTGCTGATAAAGAGTGACTGTGGTTGAGAAAGATGTGTAATTATGGCCTTTTCTGCTAACTTTGGATAATTCTGGTATATGTCGTGACATATTTTTTTTAGTGCAGTGCTAACAATGGAGAAATCAAAAGTTCATTTTCATCATATTCTGTTTTGCTTCTAAAAGGAAAAAATACCAGTCAGACTACTTGTAAAATTTTTGTTGTCTGTGGAAAAATGCGTTTCTGGTGACACAGTTTGAAGGTTACTCGAAAAGTTTATAAACAGAAATTTCATCTTGACAGATGATGCCCACACTGGATGACCATCCTGTATAAACAAGGATCTATCAAAGGAAGCTATCTGTTATTCCTTTCAGGAACTATCAGACAGATCTATTCCAAAAACATTCTGAAAATACATGATCATTTGAAGAAGAATGGGTATGTAAGCCACTACAGTAGAGCAGAATGTACTTGCTCGAATTTTGGCATGTGATTCATTGTTGAAAAGAAACAAAGAAGTACCTTTTCTGAAATGTCTCATTAATTGAGATGAGAAGTGCGTACTTTACAGTAATTGTCAAGAAAAAGGTCATGGAATAAGCCAAAAGAGTGTCCTTTAATAACATTGAGAGAAAACTATATCCCCAAAAAAGTAAGGCGTAAAAATTACAAAAAGTAACTTTTTGTATAGTCCTCTAGTTCCTGTAGTTCAGGGAAAGTTTGAACTCATTATTAAAAAAATAAATAAAAGCAAAACGTTCAATTGTGTGTGGTGGGATTATGAAGAATAGTACATTATGAATTGTAGCCACCAGATCAGAAGTAAATTTGGGAAAATACCTTTTACAAAAAGCAGTTCCAAAAGCAGAAATTGAAGCAAAATGACCAATCATTGAGGTTTCTTCCATTAATGAGTGGTTCCACAGTTTGATGAATGTCAGACATACCCTATTTGAGAAAAGGATGGAATGTTTTGTGTCATCTCCAATATTCATAAGCTTCCTCAGATTTAGTCTTTTCAGATCACTTCAGATTTCTATGAAATGTTTGAAGGTAACTTTCGTGGGGACTCTCAAAGAGCACCTTGATAACTTCACAAATAAATGTAATCACTTTTTTAAAAGGAATTTTCCAGCTGGCAGAGACATAGCAAAAAGTCAAAGAACAAAATAGTGCTTGTGTTTTTCATTGAAATTTTATGTTTTTGTAATACTTTATATGTATTGCCGTAAAAAAGAAAACCCAGAACTTTCTGGATTATTCAATATAAAGTGCTGTTTAAAAATTGTTGAAATAAAATATTAAGTAAACACATGTTAAATTTTATTATAAAATAATACACATAATTTATTACTTAAAAATTTATTTGAAAAATATCAAATAAATTAATTTAAAGTGTTCCTTCATTTTCCCTAGAGGTATCGTATTCCAGACAGTAGCACATGATGTGCCTAAGTGGCATTACTTCAATGAGCCAGACACATCATTCTTTGTGTGATATTCACAGCAAGAAATTCATCAATAAGTCGCAGAATGTATGTGGGACAATAATGGCATTCCTAGCCTATTGCACTAGATATGATGTATTTTTTTGTTGTTTTATTGCAAAATATGACCTATTTATTTCATTTTCCTTCTTTTATTTTTAATTCCTTTTTTAATGAGAAATAAAAGTATAGTTGTCTGGGAAACAAAAACTTGCCTTTTCCCTTCTAATATTGTGATTGTAGGCATTGGATCTGAGGCAAGTGTTATCTTTATTGTGTGTGTGTATATATATTTCCCTTTACTTCTGAAGAAAATTTTGGGCTGCAAAATATATCAGAATGAAATAAGGGTTAAGAAGTCGTGTTGCAAGGAATACTGAAACAATCAGATAATTATGAAATTGTAATATATAGCAAAGATTCATGAGCTTTGTGTTTGAATCAAATGGTAAAGCCATTTTCATAGTTCAGAAACAGTTAAATGTTCCTGAATTTATTATAAAGTATGTCTTTTATGATTCCTTTCATAGAACTTAGGATTAAATTCAGAGATTAGATTTTACATATTATGCAGCTGTGTTATAATCGAATATGCTTTATCAAAGCAAAAGTATTTTCTAAAATCTTTCAATTTCATCAGAAGAAATAAGAAAAATTTTATATTTATATTAATTAATAAAGTATTTTTAGTCTAAAGAAAATAAATAGTTAACATTTTAAAACTATGAACTTGTGTTCTGTAAATTAGACTTAGTTACAAAGTGATTAGGTGGATTCCCCTATATGTCATAAGTACCACTTTTGTTAAAGCAATAGCATGGCTTTATATAATCACCGCATGCAATAAATATTTTCATAACCTAAAGTTTTTAATTGTTTAATTGTTTTGTATTTTCAGAGCCGCATCTATTCATCAGTATTTGATATTATTCACGAAGTGGATAAGTCTTCATTATACAAGTTGATCAGCAGTGCTCCAAACTCTTCTAATAATTCTTTATCCAGAGGTATCATGTAGAACAATTTAATTTACAATTAAATTAATTTAACTTTTTACATTATAATTACTGATAAATTAGGAACCAGATTTAGTAATTAAATAAAATCAGTTATAAAGTAAGTTTTTATCCCATGGATAACATTAATTTTGAAAATGTCAAAGTAAATTAATTTTAGAACATAATAAAATTAACAAAAATTTATTAGAGATTCATTTTCCTCTCAGTTTTTAGAAACACGGATAAATTTTGTACTTAATTTCTTTTAATTTGGACGTGTCAATGATGGGCGCAATTACTGAAAAACTTCAAATTTTTCAGGTTGCTGCTCTCCATTCATTAAAGAAAATTATTTAATAAAATATTTTATTTAATTACTAAATTTGCCTTGTAATATATTATTTAATGGAGCTGATTTAACCAGTTTTAATGAAAGTTTAAATGTTCATTTTTCTTTATTACTTCAAAAATAAGTATAGTATAGGCACAGTGTCCACAGAAGTCTGTATATGACCTTTATGTTTGCAACTCCTAGTTGTATATGTACACTTCCATTTACAAGAATATTTTTAGCAATGCAAATTTTAGCATTTTTAAAATTTAAAAATCAATTTTTAAAAATTACAAAAAGTAACTTAAGTTATATTGTGTTATCTGGAAAGTTTTGTAGTTTTTCAAAATGTATAGTCCTCTAGTTCCTATAGTGCAGGGAAAGTTTGAACTCATTATTAAAAAAAATAAATAAAAGCAAAACGTTCAATTCCTTTTGAAAAAAAACTTACCATACTATTTAATTTGAGAATTTAGAGCCATCTGTTTTGATTCACCATGGGAATCAGTTAAAAAATAAATAAGAATACTTCAAAGTTTATTGTTATTTTCTCTTAAATATCATTTTAATATTACTTTGTGATTTGTTAATATGTAAATTCCTTAAATTTATAATTTTATAACATTCTGTGTCCCTAACAAGCTTTTATGGGTGTCATTTCTATTTCTTCAAATGCTAGAAATACATTATTGATAATCTCGTGCAAGTGAATAATCATATTAGTTTTTTGTGTCTCAGTCTGTAAGCCTGTCGCTATCTTCTAAAACACAAAAATTATCAAGCACTGTTGAAACATCTGTTTAAAATATATATATGTATGCAAATAATTTAGGATGCGGAGAATGAAGCCGTGAATAATTTTAATCATGTTTAACAGTTATAAATATTGCTGGTGTAATTATGTAATGGAAGAATAAAACTTACAGGAAACTTAAGATTACTTATTACTGTATACGATAATTATTAGGAAACACATTCTGATTCACATAACATCATAGCCACAATGTGCACTTGCAGTTTTAGAAACTTAGTTCATTTTCTGACAGTCCGTGATTCAGAGAAGGAAGCTGCACATTTTAGTTTGTGGCAAGCAAGCGAGAAAAGAGCAACCATTCAGAAGAAGGTTGGGAGAGTGTCTGAAGGTTTTAATTTCAATTGAAATCTTATTCAGTTATTGGCTAAAAGGTAACTGCATTACTATGCTACGTAAGACGGTATGAGGCAGATTAATTTGAAATGATGTAGTTTTGGTTGATACATTATAAATAGTTATTATTTTGGGGACAGAAAGGGGAAATACACAAATTAAAATGAAGAATAGAAGTGGCTTAGTACCATTTAAAATCAGAAGTTTGCTCTACATATTTTTATTTGGCATATACAGTACAAAGTCCAAAATCTGGACTCGTCGGGACTTCGGCGATTCCAGATTTGAGATTTTTCCAGATATTAGATCATCAGTTTAAATCTAGTAAGATGGCATGTAGAAATTATAAAATTAAAAATATGAAATCGTAATTTATGAAATAAGGAAGTATTTATGATCTAAAGAGTATCAAAATAAAAAAAGAAAGAAAGAAAAGCTTAATATTTATTTGTTTACCTTATTAAACTTTTCTTTTAATGTAAGTTATTTAAGATGCTTTTTTTTGTTCTAATACTTTCTCTTTAATTAAAAAAAAAAAAGAAAGAAAGAAAGAAACAGGGTTAGTACAGTCCTTAAAAGTTCTTAATTTTTTTTAAAAATGATTTTTGGTCCTTAATTTTGGCCAAAATGAATAAACGATCCTTAATTTTGCTCATTTGACATTTCTTATCATTTCTAATGATTGCCATTCTCAGTGCGAATTGCGATTTCTCATGAATATGGAATTAAAATTGCACGGCTCTTAACCAATCTGTTGCGGGATTTGTGATGCAAACGATAAAAAAAAAAAAAAAAAAAAAAAAAAAAATTAGCTACCCAAACGAAAGTATCGGTGTCTGATTGGCTATTCACCCAATCTTTCGAAACAGGTGTTATCCATAAATTTAGGCAGATTGTGACGAAAGCGTGAAGCCGGAAGTTGTTTAAGAGGCAAAAGTGATGATGAAGGTGCTCGAGAAAAAAAAAGGGGGGTATTCTGAAAATAGTTGCCAAAATTAGAGCAGTCCCAACCTGGAAGACCACAACCCTTCCGACGCCAATAGGAACAAGATGCCTGGAAAGTGCATTTTCAATAAACTGTGGCCTCATCAAGCTGATTACAAAGACTGGATATTGATGGATGGCAATCCTTAAATGTGGTCTTTGTCTAAAACAAATTGAAATTTCTAGAATGGGAGAGTCAGCGCTGAAAATTCACATGAAAATTAAGTTTTGTTTTATCATTTCAATTTGTTTTTACACGGTTTTGCTTTTTAGCAAACGCGCCCATTTAACAGCTCGCCAAATCTAGCATACACGCTGCTTTCAAATTGCGTAAGTTTATATAGTTCTATATTTCTTAAGACGCCATTGAAATACTAGTTTAATTTTTTAAATCCTTTTTTGATATTCTATGAATTTAACAATTTGGGAATTGCCCATGACGAAAAGTCGACAATAGAATTTTGGGTAAAGTGCAGAATCACCCACTGCTTGACGCGTTTTTAAGAATTGCATATACTCGGTATCCATGTACACATCGACCTATTTTCACTTTAAAAAAAAATCCCAGAATTGCACAAAATGGCACTGCGCACACCCTTGACTTTATCTATGTACACATCGACCTATTTTCACTTAAAAAGTAAAAGAAAATTGAGAAAAATCCAGTTGTTTTTACTCTTGTAAAAAGCGGCAAATAAAAGTGGGCGATTCTGCACTTTACCGAGAATTTTTTCATATAAAAGGCATCTTCATTATAGAAAATTATGTTTGACATCCAACAAGATTAAATTATGCTTTAGCGATAACTCGGTCGCGAAATAGCTATGCAGGCATCCATTCAGTTATGTTTAGCGATTTTTATATAAATTATAATAATGATCTGAAATAGTTATTTACTCTTTATGCTTCCACTCAGTCATGTTTAGCCTTTTTTATATAAATTATAATAATAAAAAAGTATTATATGAAATTAACTTTTCATCTAAATTAAAACATCAGTCTTAGATAGTTATTTTCTATTGTACTTCCTTTTTTGCATTAAGGTTGCTGCAATTATTTTTGGCAGCACTGGCATCGACAATAGTTTGGCAATTTTTTTACGGCCCTCAAAACCGAATAGTACTTTTTTTTTAATTACTGCAGTGCTTATGATTATGGCTATTCACCCAATCTTTCGAAACAGGTGTTATCCATAAATTTAGGCAGATTGTGACGAAAGCGTGAAGCTGGAAGTTCTTTAAGAGGCAAAAGTGATGATGAAGGTGCTCGAGAAAAAAAAAAGGGGGGTATTCTGAAAATAGTTGCCAAAATTAGAGCAGTCCCAACCTGGAAGACCACAACCCTTCCGACGCCAATAGGAACAAGATGCCTGGAAAGTGCATTTTCAATAAACTGTGGCTTCATCAAGCTGACTACAAAGACTGGATATTGATGGATGACAATCCTTATAAAGCTAAATGTGGTCTTTGTCTGAAACATATTGAAATTTCTAGAATGGGAGAGTCAGCGCTGAAAATTCACATGAAAATTAAGTTTCGTTTTATCATTTCAATTTGTTTTTACACGGTTTTGCTTAGCTTAATTTCTGTGTTTGTTTCAATTAAGCCATAAATTAATTTTTATCACCTTCTACGGAGTTTATTCTCTTTTGCACATACTATATGTATGGGATATCGGGATTATGAGTTTATTTCTGCAGAGGGTCTGTTATCGATTTCGCGGGAAATCTGTTGGCTCCATTTCGATTTTAGGTCGCCAAGGGCAAATTCGGTAACGCTAGCCGAGAAAAAGTGAAGTTTGCAAATACGTTTTGAAGCTTCAATAGACAATTAAGTATTTGGTTTAATCCTATGCTGTTAATAGTAATGCATTATTTTTGCTAATGGCGATACAATTATTAGTTGAAAACAGCTAACTAATTAACTAATATTTTTAAAGATGAAAACAACTAATTGAAACTAATTTTCCTGAATTAACTAGATGCAAAATTAACTTTCATGAATTACTAAAGTTATTGGGTAGAAGTTTAACTGAAAATATACATTCGGTATATATATATAATACGGACAGTACAAAGTCCGAGGTCTGGACTCGTCGGGACTTCGGCGATCCCAGATTTGAGATTTTTTCCGGATATTAGATCATTTTAAATCTACTAAGATGGCACGTAGAAATTATAAAATTGAAAATGAAAAATATGAAATCGTGCATTTATGATTTAAAGGGTATCAAAATTTACAAAAGAAAAGAGCTTAATATTTATATGTTTACTTTTATTAAACATTTCTTTCAATGTGAGTTGTTTGATTTGTTTTCTCTGCTAATACTTTAGACTAATACTATAGACATATAATTTCTTGTTCAGTTATTAAGTTCCATTGTTCAAGTCCTGTAATTGCTGTGTCGAGAATTCCGAATAACTTGTCAATCAAAATTTTTTTTTCTCGTTCAGTAACCTCTCTGTTACTTTCTTCACTATCGGTAGCTGTATTTTCTGGATTTAGAACCATACTACAGATTTCGCCCTCCGTTAATTGATTGATGATT